CAGAGCAGTTGCTTTAAATACTTTTGCTTCCCTGGATGTTAACAGACATCTCAATAATTGTATAAAATGCTTTGCCTCTGACGATGGAGAAGAACCCGTGCTATTTCACTCTCTCACTTAGGGTCATGACTGCTTGGGTGAGAAGACCGAACTCCTATCCTCTGCTTCTATTTAAGGAAAAAAATTTCTTACCTTCTCCTAGGGTTGAGCCCCACACATTGGGTGCCAGTTGTAGGGATCTCTGTGACCTTCACTGGCAGCTGAGAGACAAGCCATGTGAGATAAGAAGACAGATCAGCACAACACTACTTTGTAGCCAGCGAGTCTGACCCCTGAGTGGCTTATTTTAGGCTTATTTAAACACAGTGCAATCTGGGAAAACTATTCTTGTGATGATTAACTGAATCCCACATGCACAACAAAGCACACTGAATCTCTTTGAGGAACAAAATGAGCTAAATACAGATCAGATGTGACTACTGAAACTCTTTGTAAAGTCCATGCAACACTTTCCATAAAGATACATTCTATAGATTAACTAAGAAAAACAAGCTTATGAGAGTGGGCCTGGAGGAGGGTTTGGTACCAGAACACCTCTAGCCACACAGATAACACAAAGGTCACCAGGCTGGAAAGCATGTCTGCTCCAGTCTTTCGGGAGAAAAACAGGTTTTGCATTCATCCCCTTGAGGAACAACCCTGTGCAGCTAACACTCCACGTTCCCTTAGTGGAATGGCTCTCAACCTTCCCAATGTTGCAATCCTTTAACAGTTCCTCATGTTGTGGTGACCCGCAACCATAAAATTATTTTCACTGCTACTTCATAACTGTAATTTTGCTATTGTTATGAATCACAATGCAAATATCTGTGTTTTCTGATGGTCTTAGGTGATCCCTGTGAAAGGGTCATTAGATCCCACCAAAGGGGTTGTGACCCACAAGTTGAGAATCACTGCCTTAGTGAGTGTCCATGAACACAAAAACCTCTGTGCCGTCTACAGGGAAGGGCTCTTAAGAGGCTGGACAATATTCTTGAGAGTCCCATAGTCCATTCTGAGGACACCAGCTTCTATTAAGAATGAAATATCGAAGGCTTCTGCATAGAGGAGCTGTGCTATGATTAGACCAAAGGGACACACAGTGTAGACAGGAAAAACAGTGACAAGCTATGGCAGTAATCTTGAGAAACGGCCATGGCTCAGCCAAAAGTAGTAACTAGGTAGGGAGGGATGGTTGAATCCTGAATATGCAATTCTGATGATAAAGTCAACAGCATTTGTTTACCATCCATATGTGCGGAATGAAGTGAGTCCAAGCCATTTGTCCTCAGAAGCTGCAGTGATTGAGTTGCTGAGGGTGTTGCTCATACCTCATGCATTCTATTTCTTTAATTTCAACTGTTACCTTCCTGTTTCTTTTGCTATATCTGGGGTAACTGGTAGTATTTTTTTCCTAAAGGATTGACTTACTGAAACAAGCTTTGAACTCACAGAGGTCTGCCTGCCTCTACCTCCCAAATTCTGGGGCTAAAGATGTGTACCACCACGATTGCCTTAAAATAGAAGTTTTCAAAGATGAATAATGTGAAGAAGCTCTTTGATTGGTTAAAGTGGGCTTAAAGCCCCTCGTCAGAGGTGAGTGGGTTGCTTCTGGTTGGTCTGGCCTGAGTTTTGTTTCCAGCTCTCCACTTGCTGCACTGAGTTTCTATTTGCTAACTTGGGAACTCAAGCTGCCTTGGTATAATGGCCTCCCAGTATGTCACGCTGACACTGCAGGCGCTGCATTAACCACTATGCACAGATTTTAACATGTTTTGTTTCACCACCATTCAGTTTTTATAGTCTTCATTTTCTATTGTGATTATTCTTTAATGGGTGCATTACTTTAGTGTGTTTTTATATTCCCCATACATTTTAAAATAAACTGTGTCATTGATCTCCAATTTTGGTATTTATTTAGATAATGTTGTGAGTGATATTGATCCTTTGGCGATTTCAGGGCCTAGCTGCATTAGTCAGTTTTCGTATTTCTACAACAGAATACCTGATGCAGCTAACTTTAAAAGAAGTGAGCATTATTTAGCTCAAGCTTACTTAGTTTTGGAAGTGAAAGTCCAAGACCAAGCAGCCCCACTGGGTTGGCTTCTTCTTTGAATGGAATGCTATGATGGAAGCATATATGGGAGAAAAATGTTGGGCCAGGCATGTAAAGAGTTAAATAAAGAGTCTAAGGTCCTACCACCCCCTTTAAGGCATACCTCCGTGAGCCAAGGACCTCACTGGGCCTCACTTTATTCAGTGCCACAGAACAAACATAGGCCTTGCATAAGTGTTCCCCCACTAAGCTACCTTCCCAGTCTTTGCTTCTTGAGATAGGCTTTCATTATTTAGCCAGGTTGACTTGCATTTGCTATGCAGCACAGTCTGTCCCCAAGATCCAAATCCTTCTGCCTGCTTCCCAAGTGTATATTCTAATGGAGGAAATGAACATGAACCAGTCTTCTCCACAGTGTTTGGTGATGAGAACTTGTTAACAGTTTTTTTTTTCTCCAACTTTTTTTTAATTTGCATTAGAAACAGGATTGTTTTACATGACAATCCCATTTCTCTTCTCCCACCCATCCTCCCCTACCCGCCCCCCCAACTAAAACCTTATCTGTCACATATCTTTTCTGCTCCCCCTGGATGGTGAGGCCTTCCATAGGGTGTCATCAGAGTCTTTTGTTTCCTTTGGGGTAGGGCCTAGGCCCACCCCCCGTGTGTCTTGGCTCAGGGAGTATTCCTCTATATGGACTGGGCTCCCAAAGTCCACACCTATGCTAGGGATAAAAAAATATGGAACACTTCACAAATTTGCGTGTCATCCTTGTGCAGGGGCCATGCTAATCTTCTCTGTATCGTTCCAATTTTAGTATATGTGCTGCCGAAGCGAGCACAGGCTCCACTTCTTAAAGGGCCACTATACCTCTCAAGACCACCAACTTGGGGACACAAAAGGTTTTGTGGGGGGCCACAATTATACCCCGGCCATAACACCTACTAAAGAACATACTCTGTTTCTTTGGAAGGATTTAGCTCTTCCAAATGTGGTGACACACATCTCTAGTCCCAGTATTCAGGAAGCTGAGGCAAGAAGCTCAGGAATTTGAGGCCAATGTGGAATCCTATACGAAGACCCTGTCTTAAAAAACTATTAGGGTTAGTGCTCTAACTCAGTGGTAGAGTACTTGCCTAACATTACCCTAGGATCAATCTCCAGTGCCTCTAAAAACAAAACGAGGAGGGGGAGGGAAAGCAAGTGCTCAAGAAAGAAAATTAATGCCAAAGGCTAGAAAAGGCAGGTGAAGTAGAATGGACAGACATTGTTCCCATCTGCTGTGGGAGCTGGAATTGTAGACTGAGGAGGTTGCTGCGCTTAGAAAGGGCTTGATCCCTGGAGCACCAAGGAATTGGCTACATCAGAGGCTGGGCTCATACTCAGCAATGTGGTGATGCTTGTGTGGGGATTCTCTATGGCTAGATTCCCAAGATCCACAAACAATAGTTCCACACCCCAGGGCATCCTAGACCCCACACTCATGCTGTGTGTGTGTGTGTGTGTGTGTGTGTGTGTGTGTGTGTGTGTGTGTCCCAGCTACTACTGATAGCATGTGACCATGGCAGAATCTAAGGGTGCTGTCATCATTAGGGAACAGGTCTCCATAAAAACAAGTCTGTGATTTTTGTTCCATAGCAGTCACTCTAGGGAGCTGTCGCAGTGCTGTGTGTTGGGTGAGAATGCATCTTGCTCTACTCCAGTCTGTTCCTGTGAGAAGTGCTGGGATCCAGGAACCACAACACCTCATCACAGAGGTAGACATGAGGACTGGCTGTTCAAACGATATGAGCCGTATGTTCCCCTCGGGAAAGGAAGAGTTTTATGTTACTTTTTTTTTTTTTTTTTGGTTTGATGCTGTAAAAAAATCCCTTTTGTGACTTTAGCTAAAAACATCCAGTACATTGAAGTATATTGTGTCTAAAGAGAATACTGTAAAGTTCCATAAATAGGTGTGGTTTGTGAAGGCTCTTTACAGTGTCAAACAGGGCAGGTTCCTTCTGGGGATCACAGGGACCCTGCTTTCCTTGGTTTCTTCGCATCATCTTTCCTCTGCTTCTGCCAAATTTTCTCCCTTCATAAGGCCACCAACCAAACTGTATTAAGGCCTCATTGTGATTTAATTATCATTGTAAAAGTCTCCTTGCTAAACATGGTCACATTCTGAGGCCTGTGCTATTAGGACTTCAGTTTATGATTTGGAGGGAGGGATTTGTACCAGCTACTGTTCTCATCACTGTGAGAGCATAACTGACAGAGGCAAGTTAAAAGAAGAAGGGTTTGACTTGTCTGAGGGTTTGAAAAGGATGCAGTGTTTTATGACGGGAAGGCACAGCAGCGGGGCATGAGGTACCGGCCACACTGTGGCTCTGGTCACACCTCGTCCACAGTCAGGAAGTAGAGAGCGATGAACACTGGTGCTCATCTGACTTCCCCCGTATCTCCTCATTATTTGGTCTGGGATCCTGGTTTGTGGGATAGTGCTACCCACATCCAGGGTGGCGCTTCCCTCCTCGGCTGATCCCCTCTGAAGACACCTTAGAGTCGCAGCCAGAGCGTGTGCTTGCTAGGAAATTCTAAATCCAGTCAAGTTGACAAGATTAACCTCACGGACCACTTCACTCAGTCCCACAGCAGTCGTTTCACCATGGCCTTTATTGTGCTCTATTTCAACAACATTCATACTCTTCTCTGGTGTTTCACTCCAAGGCATGCAGCTTAGGCACAGATTTTTGCTTACAGAATTGGTGCAATTTTGACAAATAGGTGACTCATCATGGGGCTAGCTGACTCTCAGCACATCCTGTGCCCACAGATGCCATTTCTTTCTTCCTTCGAGGACATAGCCGTCCTTTTAAAAAGAGATGGCCACACTCTGAATGTTCTTTTGCTTTGTTGCTTCCAGGGAATGTACCTCCTACCACCCAGCCAAAGTGCACTGACTTCCAGAATGCCAGCTTCCTCCGAGGCACCAACCTCAGAGTCCAGTTTCTCTTCTTTACCCCTTCGGACCCTAGCTGTGGGCAGCTGGTAGAAGAGAGCAGTGACATCCAAAACTCTGAGTTCAACGTCAGTCTGGGAACTAAACTAATTATTCATGGATTCAGGTGAGAGCTAAGTAACCAATAAGACCTTCTCCACTAAGAAGGAAAGAGACCATAATGGCGTAATGGCGCGGGAAGGTTGTGCGGCACATGAGGAGGCATGAATTTACAGCCAGTCACATGTTCGTCATTCATGTCCTTGATGCTCTGTCATCTTTGCACACTTTGCACACATTGTGTTCCTCATCCTTGCTAGCACACCAGTAAGCCTCTGCCCGGTCTTTATGGCCCTGGAAAAGCCATTCCAGTTTCCATATCTGGATTAAAGAGGAAGGTGTAGGAATCATCTCCATGGTTCTTGGGCAAAAACCTGCGCTGTTCTCCCCAAAGTGTGGTTGTGCAGCATGATTCATCTTGGAAAATGAGGTCACAGGTTTTACGCAGTCACTTGAGGATAACAACATGGTACTTTTTGCCCACGGTTTTATTTCCTCTTTTTTCTTCTTCTTCTTCACTTTTTTCCATGATTTTATTACTGGAGAAACTTTTGTTTATGGTATTATTTCCATCATACCCAGGGGTTAGCTTTTCACAGGAGCTTGACAGTTTTGCAGTTTCTGGTACCCTACTGTCCAATTCAATCACAACCCTTCCTTCAAACATCTCCCTACCCCACCACAAAGCCCACTGACAAGACAAAAATCAGAGGAAGTTTCTGAGAAGAAATGGAAAAAGAGACTGCAGGGCATATAGAGTTGGGGTACCCATTAAACGGGTGCTCCCCACTTCTTCACATCGGCCTCTCTCTGCTCCAGGGGCCCAGCTACATCTACCCTTAATTGTCACTCTCCATTCTTTTTCTAAAGTCATTTCTTTAGCAAGTCTAATATTCAGCCACTATCCCAGGCAGAATATATCCCTCCAGCCCAGGGGTGGCTGATGGAACCAGAGCAGTCATCAGGCAGTTCTGCTCTTGCACCTCAGGGAACCTCACTTTCCAGAGCCCATGCCCCATCTGTACTCCTGTCTCCTTCTGAGCATGCTCGCAGTGTCCCACAACTGGAGCTGGGATGTCTTTCCACACTGTTAGGAGAGCTTTCTGAAAATTTCCTAACAGTATCTTTCTAGAAAAGTCTTAAACTATAGGTTCTAGACAGTCAGGGACTTGTCTTTATATCTTGGGAATCATCCAGCATACCCTTAGACCCACAGGTCTATAAGCGTGTTGTGAATGACCAGAAGGGTACATGGAGGAATGAAAGCCTCCCCATTTTAAAAGCCTATCATTTAAAATGAGAATTCGTTTATGTCTCTCTTGGGGTCCTCCTTGTTACCTAGCTTCTCAGAGGTTATGGATTGTAATCCTTTGCTTTATATCTAATATCCACTTATGAGTGAGTACATACCACATTTGTCTTTCTGGGTCTGGGTTACCTCACTCAGGATGGTTTTCTTTTTTTCCTAGTTCCATCCATTTGCCTGCAAATATCAAGATGTCATTTTTTTTAACCACTGAGTAATGCTCCATTGTGTAAATGTATCACATTTTCTCTACCCATTTTTCAGGTGAGGGGCATCTAGGTTGTTTCCAGGTTCTGCCTATTATGAATAATGCTGCCATGAACATAGTTGAGCAATTGTGCTTGTGTTATAAATGTGCAACCTCTGAGTATATATGCCTAGGAGTGGTATTATTGCTGGGTCTTGAGGTAGTTTGATTCCCAGTTTTCTGAGAAACCACCAGACTGATTTCCAAAGAGAGACACACATGGATCACCCTGGGACTGGGAAATAGACAAGATCTGAGTAAATTGGGAGTGTGGTGGAGAGTGGGGAGAGTATAAGGGAGGGGAGAAGGGGAGGAGAGGAGGGGCAGGAAAACATGAGGGAATAGGATGGCTGAGTTGGGGAAAGGACAGAGAAGGAGAGCAAGGAAAGGATATCTTGATAGAGGGAGCTGTTATGGGATTAGTGAGAAACCTGGCAATAGGGAAATTCCCAGTCATCCACAAGGATGACCCAGCTAAGACTCTAAGCAGTAGTGGAGAGGGTGCCTGAACTGGCCTTCCCCTGTAATCAGATTGATGACTACCTTAATTGTCATCATAGAATCTTTATCCAATAACTGATGGAAGCAGATGAAGAGATCCACAGCCAAGCACTGGGCTGAGCTCCTGGAGTCCAATGGAAGAGAGGGAGGAGCAATTATATGAGCAAAAGGGTCAAGACCATTTTGGGGAAACCTACAGAAACAGCTGACCTGAGCTAGTGGGAGCTCACTGACTCCAGACTGATAGCTGGGGAACCTGCATAGGACCAAACTAGGTCCCCTAAATGTGAGTGACAGTTGTGTGGCTTGGACAGTTTATGGGGCCACTGACAATGGGACCAGGATTTATTCCTAATGCATGAACTGGCTTTTTGGAGCCCACTCCCTATGGAGGGATACCTTGTGCAGACTAGATACAGGTGGGAGTGCCTTGACATTTCTCAAGGGTGGGGGGAGGGGGAGATTGTTTTAAAATAAATAAAATAATTTATAAAAGAAGATTGTTTTAAAAAATAAAAGGAGAATTCAACTGCCAATTTTAACTTCAAGGTACAGAGCCATCTTTCAAATAGCACAGAGACAGAGCAGTGTAAGCAGTCTGCAGAGCTTTGCACAATGGGGCAGACTGAAGATGGCTGCAATCTGTCCTGTCCCTACATTCTTCAAGGGACAAGAGGTGCTTTCAGATAATTTACACGAAGGTTCCACATATACTGGAGTGATGTTGCCCCTCTACTCAAGGCATTGTGTGGCTGGCTGTCCTTAGTCTTGACTTCTCTAGTCTGGGGACCAATTGGGGTTTTAACCAATGGCTATCAATCAATTTGGCAAGTAACATTCCTCTGCATTTTGACTCATGTCTAGGGCTTTAGGAACAAAGCCTTCTTGGATTGACAAGTTTATTAGAGCTCTCTTGCGGGCAACAGATGCCAATGTGATTGCAGTGGACTGGGTTTACGGCTCTACAGGCAACTACCTCTTTGCTGTGGAGAATGTGGTCAAGTTGAGCCTGGAGATCTCCCGATTCCTCAGCAAACTTTTGGTAGGTAGGGAAAGGTTCAGGTTAGTTTTGTACAGAGAAAGAAAGATTCCCCTTGAGATCAGGAGCAGAGCCATCCAGGGATCTAGAGGGTTTTCATGTTAAATCTGGGGCTGGATTCTCAGGGTTCCGACAGGCAGGGCACCTAACCTCCCCAAGTTCCCCGGGCTTCTGTAAAATATACCATTGCACAACAAATAGTGAATGCCAGCAGGGCAAAATTTAGTAGTTCTTCCCAAGAAATGACATACTTGGTCATTATATACTTAGAAGTGAGGAACTGGGGTGGGGTGCAGAGCCCCATAAAAGGGAACAGTAATTGATGGATGGGAGGCCTTCCCTTGTTCTGAAGCATGTGTGTAGGTGTGTGGTACCCAAGGCCTTTGGTTTTGGGAGCCTTGGGAAAGCCACTGCAACCCAAGTAGAACCCACTGTCTACCATTGCCCATTCCAGGAGCTGGGTGTGTCTGAATCCTCAATCCACATCATTGGTGTTAGTCTGGGGGCTCATGTTGGAGGCATGGTGGGACATTTCTACAAAGGCCAGTTGGGACGGATCACAGGTAAAAAGAAAAAATCCCCTCTACCTCTCCTTTCAGCCATTAGAGACAGAGAGAGATTGCTTCGGAGACTCTTCTGAAGTGAGCAGAGGGGATGTTGAGCCCATATTCTTATAATCAAGTCATTATTGCCACTAAAATGGATCTATTGTTTGCATAAAATAGTGTCATTATTTCATGATCTCCAATATCACTATAAGAGCACATGTATTTATTTCTGAACCTCAGTGCTTATACCTATAAAATGGGTTGTAATAAGCCATAATTGGGATTCTGTGTGGAAATCACCCTCAGACAGTGTTTACCTGCAAAGACAGTGGAGTTTATAATTCAGTCATCATTCTCAGTCAGTAAGGATGGGGGATGTTCAGTAAATACCCTACCTTCTTGGTCCTTCAATTGGACAACTTTGAATCAGGTGCCATAGACCTTCCAGAAAGGCCCTGTGGGATGGAACCAGTTGTCACTGGTTTTGCCAAATTGATGGTAGTGTTATGTTCATGTTAGAGCAGGGCCATTGAGAGGGGACCACAACAGACCACCACAGATAACAGGGTTTCCTGAGTAAAGTGGTCCTGGGCTGCTTCTTCCAACCCCAGAAGGACTGCTGCAGAAGGCAAAGTTGTGTTTCTGGGAGTTGAGAGAAAAAAGAATCATAAGAGTAGTCTGTCTTTATAGGTCTAGATCCTGCCGGACCAGAGTACACCAGAGCCAGCCTGGAGGAACGCTTGGATGCTGGCGATGCCCTCTTTGTGGAAGCCATCCACACAGACACTGACTGTGAGCTGGGGTGATGTGCCTGGGATGAGGGAGAGCACATGGGCAGGGACAAGAGTACTCACACCTAGTGGTGTGGCCCTGGCCGGAGAGCCCCTGCTCCTGGCAGAGCATCTGTTTAACGGCGAGGAATGTATCAGGATGATTTTAAAGGTCTCGTCCAGTTCTGAGATCATTCTTTGGCTATCATTGTCATTGTCGTTGTAACCATAGAGATGAGTAGTTTTATTTTAAGCTACCAGTGGGCAGGAAGATGCTTACTCATGAACCAAAATTGTTTGTGTGGTTGAATTGATTCAAACTCACTGATTCAACACCAGACCCTGCTTTGATGGGCATCGCTGACTGGATGACATCTGGGAAAATCACGCTGCTTTTTTAGGCTCTACGTGTCTGGCCCCTAAGGACGGGGGCATTCCACTCCCCAGACAGGCCAGTCAGGATTTCCCTTTTCCCCAGAGGACAAGCCCAGTCTTAAGTCAAGAGGGAGAATCCCCCTTCCAATTTCAGACACACAGGAAAGCTCACCTCAATACTCAGTCCAACTTGTCTTTCTGACCGCCTGGGAAAGGAGGGAAACAACCATCCTCGTTTCTACTAGAAATAAAATATCCTCATGGGATGCACTGTGCTCAGAGTTATTGCCATGAACAAGAAAAGCAACTGCTATTCTAGACCAAAAGAGCTTATGACTCAAGGAAGAGAGATGTGTGTGTCTCATCCCCTTAGGTCAAAAGCCTGCTAGTGTTCAAACACACAAGGCATGAAGAAGCCCATAACAGTGATATTGTTCAACCCCTTCCCCTCACAGATCTATACCATGATCCCACGAACCTGGCTATGCTAGGCTAATTTATTTGCTCATGACGAAGGTAAGTCCTTTACTTAAGAGAAGTCACATTCTTGGTTAACAGAGGATGAGGGAGGAGAAATGAGGAGTTGGTGCTTAAAACATGGTTTCAGTTTGGGATAGTGACGTTTAGAATACATGTCAGTACCGGGAGGTGATGACTTCTCAATATAAATTTAAACAATCAGTAAAGGCACTGAGTTGTCTACTTAAAAAAAAATAAGATGCCAACATTTGCTATGTGTATCTTACCATAATAAAAAAATAAACCACTGCTTTCATATAAAAAAACCAAAATTTAAAAATGAAGTAGCGGGCGGTATTGGTGGCACACGCCTTTAATCCCAGCACTTGGGAGGCAGAGGCAGGCAGATCTCTGTGAGTTTGAGGCCAGCCTGATCTCCAGAGCGAGTGCCAGGAAAGGCTCCAAAGCTACACAGAGAAACCCTGTCTCAAAAAACCACAAAACAAAACAACAACAACAACAAAAAGAATCCAGATGTCTTTTGGGGCTGGAGAGATGGCTCAGAGGTTAAGAGCACTGACTGCTCTTCCAGAGGTCCTGAGTTCAATTCCCAGCAACCACATGGTGGCTCACAAACATCTGTTATGAGATCTGGTGCCCTCTTCTGGTGTGCAGATATACATGGAAGCAGAATGTTGTATACATAATAAATAAATAAATAAATAAATAAATAAATAAAATTTAAAAAAGAAAATGAAGTAGAACTCTTCTATTCCCAAACTTACTAAATGTGTTTCATGTTAGATTCATAGTTCCCTGGCTTAGGCCTCTTTGGCCTTTTGAACATGAAGTCTCTTCTGTATGGAACTAAAAATAATAATTCTGCTTATTCAGTCAATATTTACTGATCTAAGTAGCCAACCCTGAGATTACAACAATGAGCAAGGACATGCAGTTAGGCATCTGTTCATTTATTCAGTCAATAACTATTTAATAGTCACTCTTTGTGAACCAGGTATTGTGGTAGGTGTCAAGGACTCAGAAGAAAAACACCAAAAAAAGGGCAGGAAAATACCCGAAAGCTTCATTCGAGGAAACAGATCAGATTACAGACTGTCCTATCACATGCATGTGGTCATTACTTGTAGTGTAGAAGAGGGTGTTGACAGAGGGTAACTTCTGAGAGGGTCTGCTTCAACAGCACGTTTGAGCAGCATCTGTACAGTAGGCAAGGCTCAGCGGGAGAGAATCAACCAGCCTTGGGAAGAGCTAGGAGAAGGTGGAAAGATGGAGGAAGTAAGGGTTGGATGTGGACTGGTGCTTGACTTGTTCTAGAAACAGAAAAGAGAATCACGGGGTTCAAATGTGATGGGAAGGGAAGGTTTATCCTATGATTTTATTGGGCATATTTGGGTACCCTATAAACCAACTATAGTGTGCTTCCTCTCAGCGTGGTTTGCCTTGTGAAGTTGCACAGCCCATTGGAGTGAGGAGGACACTGACTCCGAACTACCCTGATTCGGGACCAGGAAAGTATGCTCTGAAGCTTGAAGATAACAGGGTTCTGCTCCTTTCAGATTTGGGTATCCGGATTCCTGTGGGACATGTGGACTACTTTGTCAATGGAGGTCAAGACCAGCCTGGATGTCCCACGTTTTTTCACGCAGGTCAGCAAGCCAGGGAGAGTTAGTATTTAGAGGCTCCACAAACTGAAATCCACCATACCTTCAACCTGATCAGCCAGTGCGGGCCACATGGGGTCTTTCTGATGGTGCCCTCTATGTCCTGCAGTGTCTTAGTACACACTGGTTATATTTGGAGCCCATGAATTCTGGAGAGTTGCCTCTGATACTAGAAGTTGGCCTCATGTTTGTGATGTCATCCTATTTTATGTTAGGCCCTGCCACGATCTAATATCAATCAGGCCAATAACCTCAATCCTCCCCTGATCTGTGGGAAGGCCCACAGGAGCTATGCTCTCCAGAATGGAGCTCTGGCAGAAGCAATCCATCAGACCAGAACTGCATGGCTGAAGGGTCACTTTGCCCAACACTGTACAGTTATTGCTCTTTCCTTTTTTTTCTTTTTTGTTCTTTGTTTTGTTACAGGGTCCTCTGAACTCACAAAGATTTACCTGCCTTTGCCTCCTTCGTGCTGGGATTAGAGGAGTGCACTGCTATACCCAGCCTCCAAAATTTTCTTAAAGATTAATTTTCTAACATATTCTCTCCTAAATATATTCTTCTGGAATTCTCTTTTTAAAAATATTTATCATGTATTTTATTTTAAATTATCAGTGTATTTAATTAACAAATATATTTAATATCTGTTTTAAATAATACTAAATCTGTCAAAAACACCAAAGATTGTTCAGCTTTATATTTTTCTTATCATTAAAATCAATAAATTGGCATTTTGTTGGGAAATATTAAATGCTGATTTCTGTATGTTTGTAATAGTCTCGTATTTCACCAAATTCTTAATATTTTAAGGGATTTTTTTGTTTGCTTTTTTAGGCAATATTTCATGCTATAGCCCAAGCTGACCTCAAATTCCCAGCTGTCCTCCTGCCTCAGCCTCCTACTCCATTATACCTGGCTCTATTTTAAGGACTCTTTTGACAGTTTTATCAAATAATTTTTTTTTTTACCAGATTCATTAGTTTTTCAAAAACATGCTTCTTGGAAAACTTTAATACATTTCAGCATTTCTGATCAAGAGGGGCGGTTTGGTTTCAGTGTTTTAGAAGCTCTTAGTGTCATTTTAGTTAGCTACTTTTCATTTCGTTATAACGCAGTTTGAGAAGGGGGCTGCTATGCTGTCTCAGTTCCCTGGTGGATGGATGCTAAAAGGAACTTGGCAGTAGAAAAACATCCAAACCATAGGAGAAAGGAATGTGATTGTCAGTCCAAGAGAGAGTTCTGAGGTGTAGAGGGAGCCAAATGACCCCAGGATCCTATAGCTGTGGCTTATTCCTTACTTATTAGCTCCATCCTCATGTGGATTGTGGTACACTTGTGTGTGTGTTGCATGCATAAGTGTTGTTGCGACTTTTAAATAGTAAATAACCCGGGGCTGGAGAGATATCTCAGTGGTTAAGAGTTAAGTGGTTGCTCTTCCAGAGGATCAGGGTTTAATTCCCAGCACTCACAATGCAGCTCACAACTGTCTAACTCCAAGATCTGACACCTTCACACAGACATGCATGCAGGCAAAACACCAATGCATATAAAATAGAAATAAATAAATAATAGTAAACAATTACAATAAAATCAAGTTGGGTAATTGGAATACTTGGAAAGTTCTTTAGATCAGTTACTGGGCCAGTTGAGTTACAGCACATATAATTCAAAAGACTGACTCTAGACCAGGGGTTCTTAACATGTGGGTTGTGACTCTCTTAGGAGTTGAACAACCCTTTCATGGGGGTGAATATGGTCAATATGAAGAAGCCGCACTATTTCATGGGGGTCATTTAAGACCATCAGAAATATCAGATGTTTACATTATGATTCATAGCAGTAGCAAAACTCAAGCTATGAAGTAAGCAACAAAAATAATTGTGTGGTTGGGGCCACCACAACATGAGGAACTGTATTAAAGGCTCGCAGCATCAGGAAGGCTGGGAACCACTGCTCTAGACTATCTCTTCACTGGGTGGGAAAACTGTTTTGTGGGTGTTGATGAGGAAGATAGACAAGCAGAGACAACTATCTCAGCTGTAGCACTTTGGCTGGGTGGTAGGAGGTACATTCCCTGGAAGCAACAAAGCACCTACTTTTCTAGAGTTTTCCTGGTCACATAAGACTCAATCTCAGATCAAATCAATTGTCTTGGCAGACTAAGCTTCTCAAGACAATGAAAAGTGAAAGAGAGATTGAGGTAACCATGTTTGTTAATGTTTCTAAAGTGTGGCTCAGGGGACAGCCCATCTATTCATAGGCTTCTGTGCTATAAAATCCAGTAGAGTTATAGTAAGTGACAGTGAGGGAGTTTCCACTGGTCTGGACTGAAACCTTGATGTGGTTTTTCGTCTCCTCTCAGGTTACAGTTACCTGATCTGTGATCACATGAGGGCTGTGCATCTGTACATCAGTGCTCTGGAGAACACCTGCCCACTGATGGCCTTTCCCTGTGCCAGCTACAAGGCTTTCCTGGCTGGAGATTGTCTGGATTGCTTTAACCCATTCCTGCTCTCCTGTCCAAGGATTGGTGAGACCTCGTTCCCTTGCCTTCCCTTGGCAGTGTCTGGGAGTTCAAGGACTAACCATTTGCCACCTCTTTTGGTTTTTAAATAGTTTAAAAATAAAAAAAACTATTTAATTTTTTTTTGGCATTTCACATACGAGTACTGAATTGACATCATTTCCATCCATTCCTTTCCCCACTCCGATGCCTCCTGCTTCCTCTCCTTCTCAAGTTCAAACCCTCTTATTCTATAATTCTTCTTCTTCTTCTTCTCTCTCTCTCTCTCTCTCTCTCTCCCTTTACTCCCCCTCTCCCCCCACCCACCCACCACCCACACACACACACACACACACACACACACACACACACACATCCATCTAGTGCTACTCTTATGTATAACATGTTTAGGACTGACCACTCGGGATTGAATAACCTATCAAGTTCATCCTTGAAGAATAATTCAACCTTTCTCAGCCATTGATTTCCTGTAATTCTTTATCCAGGGTTGGGGACTTGTGAGATTTCCCCTATCATGTTGGCATGTTGACAGGTGCTGTGATTGTGCGCTCCCTGTTTAGATGACCACACTGTCAGAGCATTGCTGACCTATGGCCAAGAGTCTGTCCATCTGGGAAGAAAACTAACCCATGAGGTGCTCAGCCCACTCTCACCTGGAAGATGGCAATTGGTGTTTGCTGTCCCCCATTGTCTTGTATGTGCTCCCTGATGTCATGCTTGCCCTGTGTGTGTGCCTGGTAGGAATTCTCCAGAACTTCACACAGGTCGTCTTTAGAAGTGCGAGATTGTGGTGGTGGCCACACGACATCTGGAATGGGGGGCAGTGACTCATTGCTGGACAGCTCAAGTATGTTTCTGCATGATCAAGGCCAGTCTGGTGAAAAGACTCTAAGGAGGTGGAGGGATCAGGCCCCTACCCACCTGTGGAGACCACTGCATTTCATATCCTAGGGGGGAAACGCTAGGAAAAAAATAGCTCTTTCCTGTTTCCAGTTTCCCACTCCCCACCATCCCTGGCTGCCACTCATAACACAGCAGCTTGTCACTGCTCATATGGTGACATGGTACCAGCTTGGCAAAATGTGAAAGGCAGATAGTGCCCCATAACAACACACACCAGCACTGTCTTCCTCCACAGACAAATAAATGTATGGCCTCCCTTCTGAGGTGGGCAAGAGGTTTAACAGCTGCCTCCCACTGTCTGCCCAGATTTTCTCTCTGCTTTCCTTTATACTGAACCTCACAGATGCTGGCCACATACCCTTCAAGTGTGTTATCCAAGGTTCTTCACCCTGCGGGTCCTTGTCCTAACTTGACCTCATCTCTGAGAACATTCTATCCAACTGCTGTCTTCCAGTCTTCAAAGCAACAGGCTAGAGATGCTGTTAAAGCAACTATGGCATGAATCGGTTTGCAAGTTAGACATAAAACACTTCGTTTCTTACAATTATCCACCAAGAATGAGTTAAAAGAGGGCAGTGAGATGGCTCAGCAACCAGGCTCTTGCCCTCAAACCTGAAAGCCTGAATTCCGGCCCCAGGATCCACATGATGGAATGAGAGAATTGGCTGTTATCTCACTTCCACGTGTGTTTTGTGGCATACAAGTGTCCCCTGGGTCCCCCCTCGACACCCCCAAAAAACAAACAAACAAACAAGCAAGTAAATTTGAAAAGAAAACAAATGAATGTGTGGAACAACCTGAAGAATGCACTTCCTGTTGACGTTGGTGTTTACAGCCCACTGGACTTCACGTGTCTCTTGGGACTTAACGTATGTACAGTTGAGTATCTACAGAAGACAGGATGCATAAGTGACTCCACACCTGACTGGAGACTCTGGGTCCTAGAAATGGCCCTCTCAGAACTATGTCACCTTTGCTTCTTTATTTCCAGGACTGGTAGAACAAGGTGGTGTCAAGATTAAGCCACTCCCCAAGGAAGTGAGAGTGTATCTCCTGACTACAGCCAGGGCCCCGTACTGTGGTGAGTAGGGAGGGGAAGGTACAGCTGTGCTAGTAGGAGATTGAGGATGTCCAGGCTCCCACATGGGTTGCATCTGACCCAGTATTGGAGTCCAGAGAGGAGGTAATGGGTTTGGGAGGAGACAACCTGGGAGGCCGTCTCAGGCAGAACCAGAACTGTGAGAATGAAGCCAAACAGTGTCATTACAGTGAGGACTCAAGAGCATCTCTCTGATTACATATTCCCCCTCCTTCCTCTCCCCATTGAAATTTGTGCCAAGCTAATTATGATAGTGCACACCTTTAGTCCTAGCACTCAGAAGGCAGCAGCAGGCAAACCTGAGTTTGAGGGCAGCCTGGTCAACTGAGTGAATTCAAGGACAGCCAGGGTTACACAGAGGAACCCTATCTCCAAATGAAAGAAAGGAAAGGATGGAGAAAGAAAGGAAGAAAGGAAGGAAGAGGTTTGGCTCCTTCCTAGGGGTACCCCTGGTTTGGATACCTGACTCATCCATCCTGTATGCTTCTTTCTCCCTCCTGGTACCCACACCACATACCTCTCACCCCAGCAGCACCCCCCTGGGTCAGAACCCCTGAGAAATTCATGACCCCTGCCCCCTTCTAAACACAATCCATCTGTTCACAGATACTACTCACTGCGTTTCTTTGAAGCTAAGATGCCAATGATTATAAAAGATGCAAAATTAAAACAATAGTCTTGAAATCCATGAAATACATTAGACACTTAGCCAGTGCTCTTCCCCTGTTATCTATAGCTTCACTGGGGTGACTGGTTTGTGTTCAATGTCTTGGGGCCCTTCTGTCTGCTCCATGGCATGCATGGGACAAAAAAAAAATGCTAGCTTGGATGATAAATTATACGGTCACCTTAATTTGAGCTGATTTTCTCATTAGCTTGTATGGCATTATTGGAGAGATCTTAGTGGCTGCAGCCTTCCATTTCCTGGAAAGGCCCCGTGCCTTGTGATTTGGGGCTCAAGGCTCAGACTCTGTACCCACACAGACGTGGCTTTGAATCTCAGCTTCTCTGCTCTCCAGTTGAGTAATTAGGAGCAAGTCACTTCACCTTTCTGAAACCCAATATCCTGCTGTGGGAAATGGAAACAATAATAGTCCTTATATGCAAGAATCAATTGTGAGGATAAAATAGGGTAGAGGAAGTCAGTGGCACGGTGACTCAGAGTGGGGTACCTAATCATTCCCTTCCCTTAGCCAGCGAGTTTAAGACCTAGCAGGGGATGTTTTTGAGCTTTGTGGATATAGCTGTGTCTGAGGAACTAAGTGGTCTCAGCCAGTGGTGAGATTTTCATGATGAGAGTTTCTGAGAGACAGAACCTGAAGCACACAACCAGGCAAGCAAATCAGGATTCAGCATCAGGTCTTCTGACCCTTTTCCATGTCACTTCACGCCACCATACTCGATTCCTTGTTCCTTCTTGTACCCTCCTGGCAGCAGTGCCATCAGAGTCAGCAGGAAGGGCGTGGTGTGGAGTGGCCCGGGCAGTGCTTCTGAAGCCAGATGTCCTGGCTTCTCGTTCTAGTCAGGGCAAGCTGGCAGCAACTTAAACAGGCTCCTCTGCGTCTGTGTAGCTAAGAATACACTGGGTAGGGAAGCCCGGGGAAGCTTGGAGGTTCTGGGCTTTTTAAAAATACCTGCTGAGGCAGTCACAGAGCTGTGCATTTCTGGTTTCCTGTTTGTTACAAATCCCTCTCCCTTATACCCCCAGGAACACACTCCTATCTGTTCAAACACCACAGAGGGACATAGGAAACCAACACCTGCTTGCTCCCAAACGCTGCGCCTTTCTTTCTAAGGAAAGATGCAGGATACCATCCTTTCTCTAGGCCAAGTCTGTCCTGTTTAACTAGGCTTCAATGGAGTCAGGGGCCAGCTCTATCTCCCTAGACACTTGCAGGGCATCATGGTGCTGGGCTCCCACACTCAGGTCTCCTCTTAGCCTGCTTCCACCTCAGCAGTGCTTTTCAGGATGGTTGCCACCCCCTTCCCTTGATTTCTGCCAAGCATGTGCCAGCAAGGGCTAATTGTCTACCAGATAATGATTTTAAAAACTTCATCAAGTCTTCACCATTGTCAAGTAAAGTAACCGAGAGACAAAGAGGTCCAGTGATTTAGACAAGATGTCACAGCCAGTCAGCATCAGGGCCTGGCCTTAGGTTCCTGCAATCTGACCACCCACTCAGGGCTCAGCCTACCACTATCTGAGTCATCTTCCTGTGCCGTTTTTTTTTTTTTTTTTTTTTTTTTTTTTCACTGCCAGTTCCGATTCACCCAGCAACAGACCTGGCTCTCCTTGGATTTCTAGGGCAGCATAGAGAAAAGAGAAACAGAAGCTTTAGAAAATGTCCTGACAAACATAGAAAGAGATGACAAGCACCATATGTTAAACTCAACCCCAGGAATTGCATTCCTGAAGTTTCCCTAAATCGGCTAACTTTTTCTATGTCACAGTTACCCACTCCTATTCAGAAACCTTACCCATCCCATAACAGTTCACACCCCACAGTAATCAACTGGCAGATAGAAGCTGTGTGACACTGAATGTTCTTCCCCTTGGAGGGGACAGGATTGCAGGTTCTTTTGTCTCAAGAGTTCTTAGTATGTTGGCACTTGTCAGTGAGTCTGTTACTAAGCCAGCTGGGCTCAGATGGACCACAGCTCTTCTCTAACTTAAGCCTCAGTAGCTGTACCCATTGGTTACTTGCCCAACAGATGAAAAAGTACAGGTAGGGGAAGGGTGAAGGATTCCATCTCTGACTATGTTCCCATTATGAAAGGAGCTAGGGCAAACAATGGAGACCAAAGTAACTGCAAAATGCTACCAGCTACTTCTACCCCTTAATAAAAAGAAAGAATGTGTTAGCAACATTGTAATCTCTTATCAGACAGCAGGTCTTTATTACTTTGTGTCACCATGAGCCAAGACATTCACCTAGTCTATGTTGATGACACCCACCTTGAGAGTCCTAGCATCTGTACTGCTCAAAGGAGGGTCAAAGTAACAGCCACATTCACTGTATATGGAGAGCAGGAAGGGCACTGCTTTTTGATAAATGAGTTGTTTATTTACATACCCTTGTCTGTTTGTGCTGTTATAATAAAATACCCACGACTGGGAGATTTACAGAGAACAGAAAGTCTACTTTCTCAGTCTTCTGGAGACTAGGAAGGCCAAGGTCAAGATGTCGGCATCTGGTGTCGGAGGACTGTTCTCTTTGCTTTCGGGATGGCATCTTGTTGCTGTCACTGGGTCTTTGCATAATAGAGGGCAGAAGGGCCAAAAGGTCCCTAGCTATGTCTTTTCGTCCCTTTTATGATATATTCAGGAAGGCTCTGGGGCTCTCGTTGAACCTGATTGGCTAACAGCACATCAGCAAGATCTGGGATCTTGCTGTCCCACGCCCCATCCCCCACCCCACCCCCTCAGCAGTGGGGTTTCTGGCAAGGGCTGCCACACCCCATTTTTTGCATGGGTGCTGGGGGGCCGCAAATGAAGGCCCTATGCTTTCACATCAAACACTTGGCCATCTCCCCAGGGATGAAGTTTAAATATGACTTTAGGAGGGGCTACAGACATTCAAACAATAGCTATATGTGATGATTCCTCTTTGCTAGCTTCAAGATTACGTTACTGCCATTAAGATGGGTTGGTGGGTAAATGTGGCTATTGCCCAGCTGGATGACCTAAGTTTATTCCCCAAGGTCCAGATGGAGGAAGGGGAGACACAATTACTGCAAGTTGTCACCTGATCTCAACTGTACCACTTGGCACGAGCGCGCGCGCACGCGCGCGCGCACACACATACACACACACACACACACACACAGAGAAAGTAAATTCAAATGCAATTTCTATAAACATTGTGTCACTGCAAAAGGGTCACCAAAAGGGAGGAGTGAACCACTCTTGCATGACAAGCAAAAACTAACGCTTTCTGAATGTTCCCTAGGCAAGGACACTGTCCTCAGGACTTTGTATACACTGATCCACTCAGTTCTCACTCCAGCCTGTGGGATAACTACTTACACTTTAGGAAGTTTGCACTTGAGGAAGTGGAGGATCCAAGATAACTGTTATGATAAAAAGCTTTTCCCCAGTCTCTGGCGTCCATATACCTAAAGAGTCTGGGATGCTATGGTGGAGGTTCCACCCAAGTCCCTTTCTCCCTCCAAACCCTGCTGCATCTCCGAAAGCCCGCTAAATGATGACCCCTCCCCCAGAGATGCTCAAGACCACTCCCACAGGGTATTTAAACTGTCCCCCAGAAACCAGACTCCTGGTTTTCTGGTCTCCCTTTCCCATCTCTTCTCTGGGGGGGGGGGGCTGAAAGGCCATCTGGGAGCACTGTATCCATTAAACGTGAGCCTTTTCTAATTCGGTTTGATTTCGTCTGATTTGTATTGCTACATTGATGGAGAGGCTTATTGGGCTCTAGAAACTTTTCAATAACTAGTAACCTGTGCCTCCCAAAATGCCTTGGAGGTAGAGCATCCCAGCCATGCCGCTGCTCTGTGGAGCTTTTCCCTCTGGCACCTGTGCTGTCTGCCAAACCTTTGCTGTACTTTGGTTTCCTAGTGCATCACAGCCTCGTGGAGTTTTATTTGAAGGAGAAGAGAAAAAAGGATACCAGCATCGAGGTCACCTTTCTTAGCAACAATATTACTTCCTCAGTCACGATCACCATGTACGTAAGTGTCCCATGTGGCTAAGTCGCTCTTTCATGTGTATATGCTCCAAGTCAGGCACAGTGTTATTGTTGAAGGCTGGGACTAGCCCACCAAGCTGGCTACAGTGCCCACTATAGACCACAGATACCAGCTGTAGGTTTGGGATCAGTACCACAGATTAGCACAGTGTATTCAGATGCTAACAAGCAAGACTAGTGGACAGCACCAAAGGTAATTAGCATGTAGTAATCTAGTTCTGGGTAGGAAATGATGCTCAGGGATCCAGGCAGAATTGTATTAGGGATATTAACAGGAAGTAGAGCCTCAGTCACAACCCCTGCAGGGGTGACCAGGGCCCAAGAAGTCACTCCATGGAGGAGGAATTGGACTGGGTCAGTTGCCTGAAGGAACCCAAGGCAGAAGGCCAGTTAAAGTACAAGATTAGAGTCAGAGGGGGTGGTTCCAGTGAATGGAACCAAAGCCAATCATTTCCATTCCACTGGGGGCAGATTTGGCTCTGGGGAGCTGGTGGGACTAGAGATGAAAGAACTATAAATTCAGGGTGCTACAAGCCTGGCGGTGGATGGGAAGTTGGAAACAAGGGTCTATGTTTCTTTAAAAAGCAATCCGATTAAGTTATTCACAAGCCAGTAGCAAACTGTCTATCACATATCACTGGTTCTGTCAGGTTCCAGTCAGGAAACCAGAGCTGATGCAGAAGAGACCCCCAAAATGATGTGACAGAGTAAGCTAATTATAATTGCACTGGGAAAGCCGAGGGAGATGGAGGCAGGGAAAGCAGGGGAGAGATTGCCACAGTATGGGGCAAATCGGCAAAGTCAGAGGATTGACTCCAAAGAACCTGATCATAGTGGAGGCTGCTGGGCAGGAACCAGAACCTCACAGGAAGTGTCACCATTCCACAAACCCTGCCCAACCCAGAGGCCCTTGGAGGCCTGTGCCCGATTCCCTGGTCAGCCCCTGCCAGACTCTGCTGACAAAGTAGCTGCAAACAAAGGCTTGCAGAGTAAACTGAATGCAAGTGGGGAAAAGACCAGTGCACACTCCTTTAAACATTCCATGGTCCAGCTATGAGAGCACACAGACAGCGCCTAAGTGGGTCCCAGGGTGTGATAAGAGGAACAAAGGATTTGCAGGAGTGAGTTGGACAATGGGTTAGTGAGAAATGGTCACATAGGTGTGCCTGGAAGAGAAAGCCAAGGTGTGGGATGTGGAACAAGAGAAGGCTGGGGAGACAAATCAGACTTGGCAGAACAAATCAGAGATAATGGTTTCTGCCCTGAGAGGAGAGCCCTCAGGGATTTTACACAGAAGAGTCACCAAGTTGGCATTGGGGAACATTGTCAGGCTGCCCTGCTCAGCTGTGCTATGAGAGAAGACAAGTTCCACCAGGAAGAGATCATTTCTCCTGAGCTCCCAGATACTCTGCCACTGGACACTGTTCTATCTGCAAATTCTGGCCCATGAATCTGCAGACACTCACAGCAGTTTGCAGATTGTGGTGAGATCAGCAAACTGAGGGCTTTCCACTGCATCTGTTGGAGGTTGCATTGCTTCCAGGACTTTCCTTTGTCTCTAGCGGGATCATGTCACCAAAGACGCATGACTCTTGAAATGCACCGAATGCATTTGCTTTAACCTTCACTTACTTTTTTTTTAATCAAAATCTCAGAAATTAGAAGGATGCATTCCTGGAAGAATCATGTTCTTTCCCTACTTTCTATCGCGTTGTAAAACCCCAAGATTTCCTTTTAATTGGAGAATTTACCCAGGCCAAGCCACCCACACAAAGCAGCTTTCCTATTCCTTATGATTTCTAAGGCCTTTGATAGAAGCTCTTTCTTTCTTTCTTTCTTTCTTTCTTTCTTTCTTTCTTTCTTTCTTCCTTCCTTCCTTCCTTCCTTTCTTTCTTTTTATGCAAACAGCATGAGGCTTTTTTTATAGTTGTTTAACGAGCTACCCCATGTTAGCTCAGGCCTTCCATCCATCTACCATGGCAGATGGCTAGGAAAGACAGCTTGAAGCATCTGCATAGCGATCTTGTAGGGCAGCGTAAGGGGAGTGTCTAGGGGTACACACTGGCTCAGGATTGGTGTGGCTCCAGGCTTGGAGGGTTTGCCCTGTGTTGATTGGTCAACTGGTTGTTATGGCCCATAGGCCCTCCCAGGGTGGTTGCTATGCTCTGTGCATCATTGCTGTGCACTTGTCCGTAAAGCACACCCAGAGCCGTAAAGCATAGCGCCACCAGCTAACTTCTGATTGGTGATAGAAGCAGTTTCTTAAAGGGAGCAATCAGTCCTGTTTTCCTGACATATTATAAAATGCTCTGATCAGGGGTGGCTTTTACATACTTAAACAAAATCTTCCTGCAAAACAAGAACACAAACTGTCTGGTTCTGGATGTGAAAAGTACACCAAGAAAACAACATTGCTCAGTAAAACAGGAAAGAAAAAGGAAACTGGGCTAGTGAAGCAGGACCCAACTTACTATGACGTGGAGATGTCCCCTGACCCACCCCCTCTTTCTCAGAGTCCCCCACTGAGTAGGAGGCCAAGAGGGAAGGGCACACAGTCCACTGCCCAGGCCCCAGGCCCCCGGCAACCAGATCTTCCCACAGCACAACTGAATGCAGCACCTTTCTTTGAGAAGAGGCTGTTTCAGGAATCTTGAACTTGAGTGACCTCAATGGGCAGCAAAGGAATCACATGTGAAGTCCCTTAAATAAAAATCTATTGATTTTCCAATAAGAAAAAACAAAAAAAACCCAAAAAAACAAAAAAAACCCCAAAAAACAAATAAGTATTTCCTGGGTCGTGCTCAAAATTGATAGTCTATCGGTAAAGGAGCCAGTGGGGTTACACAAAAAGCTGTGTCTCCATCTTCAAGGTGCCAGGTCTGCCAACAGAGCCCCTTGGATCAAAGGTGAAGTGAAGTGCAGAGGCATGGTGCCTCATCCCCTGTCCCCCTTCCCCTTTTCAGACCTAAACAGCAACTTGAAGGGCGAGGAGTCATTGGCCACCCTAACCCACCGTGCCAGATAAACCTAGTGAAGCTCAAGTTCCAAGTTCCTAGCCGGGTTTGGAAAAAAGACAGGACTACCATTATTGGGACTTTCTGTACTGCCCCTCTGCCGGTCAATGACAGGTGAGTCACAGATCCCCCACCCAATCCCCCTTAGCCATCCCCACATCATCATCACCAAGTACAGTTCTGGACCTTAAGGGTGTTGTTTGAAGAAGCTCAACCTCACTCTAGTGGTAGCCATCTTAGAAGAGGGATTGACTGGGCAGTTTTCCTGAACCTTCTGTAGGGTCACATTGAGTTGAGAGTTTTAGGAAGGAAGCCAGAAAAGCTGATCTTTAATTCTCCTGCCTACTTTAATACATGAAACTTTTGCGTCTGTTTCATGCATTTGGTTTGGCTTAAGATTTTTATCATAGCACTAATCATGGTGTATTTCTCCTTCCTTAGCCTCTGCTTCAAATGTGTCATTGGCAACACTATTGGGTGTGGGATCTAGACTCCGAGAATAGGCATTTCAATGGTTAGCCCTTATGATTAGCATACAGAGGACAGAACTAGTCTTTATTGTAGGAAAGAAAGCCATGCAACTTCTAGCTTTTTCTTCTGATAACCAAGAACCTGCCTCCTGTTGCTCTTCACATACAGCAAGAAGACAGTCTGCATACCTGAGCCAGTGAGTCTGCAAGCAAGCATGCCTGTTTTTCAGGACCTGAAAATAGCCTGTGCATAGCCCAAGCCTACGCAGGAGGCAGTGGCCTGGATTTTTCTGAGGGCAGTGTGGCAAGAGATACGTTCATGGGCACTTTAGTCCACTCCATTCCTACTAAGGGGAAGGTCAAATTCTTGGTGGTTTTCCCCACAAGTAGTGACTGTTGAGGGGACAGATGACTCATTTTACAGAACTTGATCTCCATTACCAACTTACAAAGTTTTACATAGATACATTTCAGCTTCCCTGTTTCTAAACAACTGCCATTGTCTCATATCCTTAAGTATTTATACTTAGGATTTAATGGAAAACATATGCAGAAAAATAAACTATCATTGTGAATCATTGTGTTGAAATGTAATTCTACTACTACTATTACACACACACACACAAACACACAATTATTTACAAGGCCGCTGAGATTACTTATTGATGTGTGCGTACACACACATACACATACATACATACATACACACACAATTATTTACAGGGTCACTGAGATACTCATTGGTATGCATGCATACACACACACACACACACACACACACACACACTTATTTACAGGGTCACTGAGATACTCATTGGTGTACATGCAGTGTACATGCATACACACAGTTTAATTAAGCAAATAAATGCTTTTAAAAATTAAGAAATGAAAGCCGGGCGGTGGTGGCCCACGCCTTTAATCCCAGCACTCGGGAGGCAGAGGCAGGCAAATCTCCATGAGTTCGAGACCAGCCTGGTCTACAAGAGCTAGTTCCAGGACAGCCTCCAACGCCACAGAGCAACCCTTTCTCGAAAAACCAAAAAAAAAAAAAAAAAAAAAAAAAAAAAAAAAAAAAAAAAATTAAGAAATGATTTACAGAGGATCTGTAGTTCATCTTGGGAGAAAAATGATCATTTTTGTAATGGACAGCCTATCACAGAGATGTATAACATGTCAAGCTCCTAGGGGAAAGTGACTGTTGCTGTAGCATTTGGACACAATACTTAGCCATAGGTGGAGGAAAATAGTTGAACATCTAGGCTCAGGGCACATCACAGAAGAAGGGGCAAAAAGAATGTAAGAGTTGGAGGAAGGGAGTGAATGCTGTGTGACAATTTCCTCTGAATTGAAAGTTTCCCTCTAGGAGGGAGGAAAGAGGTTCAAGAGAACCAGGAAGGAAACACGTACCACCAGCCCTGGAAAAGATGAAACTTAGAAGATTTACAAGACCCCTCTTCAAAATTATGTAACAAGGAAGGACATTGGCATAAAGAGACTATGACCTGTTGAGCTGTCTGCAGGTTCTGGGAGCTGCCGGATTGCAGCCTTTGTGCATCTTCATCTCCAGGTGATGCAGCTGCCTTTGAGTTGTTCATGCTACTGTGATTAACCTCCCACTCGTGGTCCTGTGACAGCCTCAGTGAACTCATTGGTTAGCCAGGTTAGACTTCTGTGGAATTGTTACTATGGTCAGTGGCTGTTTCCCAATCTGTGGTGAGTAGATGTTTGTATGGCTCCTCCCACGACACCAGAACACCCCACACAGCCTCTTTGTGACAAAGCCTTTAATATAGAGACCTTTTGAAGGAAGTTGTCCAAACCACACTACTATGAAATATTCCTCTTGTATCATCTTATGTGATGACATATTTTAATATTACTTGTCCAAGGCACCTTATAAAAGAAATCTTTTAAGTTGGATCTCACAGTTGCAGAGGGTTAGTCCACTGTCATAGCTGGGAGCATGGCAGCAGGTGGACAGGCAATGCACTGGAGCAGTAGCTCAGAGCTTACATCTTTATCTACAAGTAGGAGGCAGAGAGAGCTAACTTGGAATGGAGTGGGCTTTTGAAACCTCAAAGCCCATTGCTAGTGACGCACCTCCAACAAGGCCACACCTCCTAACCCTTCCCAAACAGTTCCACCAACTGTGGACCAAGTGCTCAAATATATGAGCCTATGGGGGCCATTCTCATTCAAACCACTACATTAGTATCTTGATTTTCTGTCACATTATGAAAATGTACTTCTAAAGCCATATTCTTTCGATAAGGAAATCTTTAGCAGTCTTGGGCAGAGTAGAAAATGAATTCTGGCAATAACCAGACTGAACTTGGAAGTGGAAACATTCCCAGTGGAGGAAGCAATTAAAAAAAAATCATGGATCAGGCATGCTGGTATTCACCTTTTATCCTAACCCTTAGGAGGTTGAAGCGGTGGATCTCTGTGAGCTCCAGGCCATCCAGTGACACAAAGCAAGACCTTATCTCAAAAACAAAACAAAACATCATTCAACAGCTTCCAAGGTGGATGAAATATTCTAGAAAATATTTCTGCATGTTTTGGATCCTTTACCCATAAAAACTGAAAGACACAAATGTATTGTATAGGCTGCTATTTTTAATATCTGTTACATAACATATAAAGAAATACAGATTTGATACCTGAGAGTGTTTCTCTTTTAAGAAGCAATCTACAGATTCAATGCAATCCCCATAAAAATCCCAACACAATTCTTCACTGACCTTAAAATTCTCAACTTTATATGGAGAAACAAAAGACCCAGGATAGCCAAAACAACCCTGTACAATAGAGGAACTTCTGGAGGCATCACCATTCCTGACTTCAAGCTCTATTACAGAGCTATAGTCCTGAAAACAGCTTGGTATTGGCACAAAAATAGAACAATGGAATAGAGTTGAAAACCCTGATATTAACCCACACACCTACGAACACCTGATTTTTGACAAACAATCCAAATATATACGCTGGAAAAAAAGAGAACATCTTCAACAAATGGTGCTGGCATAACTGGATGCCAACATGTAGAAGACTACAGATAGACCCAAGCCTATTGCCATGCACAAAACTTAAGTCAAAATGGATCAAAGACCTCAACATAAACCCAGCCACCTACTATAAGATAAAGTGGGAAATACCCTAGAATTAATTGGTACAGGAGACTGCTTCCTGAATATAACACCAGTAGCACAGACACTGAGATCAACAATTAATAAATGGGACCTCCTGAAACCGAGAAGCTTCTGTAAGGCAAAGGACATAGCAAGACAAAATGGCAGCCCACAGGCTGGGAAAAGATATTCACCAACCCCACATCTGATCTCTAAAATATACAAAGAACTCAAGAAGCTACACTTTGGAAATCAGTATAGTGACTCCTCAAGAAAATGGGAATCTGTCTACCACAAGATCCAGCAATTCCACTCCTAGGCATATACCCAAAAGAAGCACATTCATATAACAAAGACATCTGTTCAACGATGTTTATAGCAGCACTATTTGTAATAGCCAGAAACTGGAAGCAGCCTAGATGCCCCTCAACTGAAGAATGGAAGGAGAAAATGTGGTACATTTACACAATGGAGTACTACTCAGCAGAAAAAAACAATGGAATCTTGAAATTTGCAGGAAAATGGATGGAACTCGAAGAAACCATTCTGAGCGAGGTAACCCAATGACAAAAAGACAAACATGATATGTACTTACTCATATGTGGATTTTAGACATAGAGTAAGGGATTACCAGCCTACAATCCACACTGCCAGAGAAGCTAGTAAACAAGGAGGACCCTAAAAGAGACAAACTTTGTCCCCTGGAGAAGGGGAAAGGGTCAAGATCTCCTGAGCAAATTGAGAGCATGGGAAGGGGGGGGACTATGAGAATGAGAAGAGAAGAAGAGGAAAGATGCAGAGGGCATGAGGGAGCAGAAAGGTTGAGTCGGGGAAGAATAAAGAAAGGACATGTGATAGGTTTTAGTTGGGGGGATGGTAGGGGAGGAGGGGAGGGAGAAGGGAACTGGGATTGTCATGTAATTCAATCATGTTTGTAACTCAAATAAACAAAAAAGAAAAAAAGAAGGAAATCTATAGTCTATGGGAAAGGAGATAACAGATGTCAAATTCTCAGCCCTGCAATGGTTTCTTCCAGCTGACTAAGGCTTGGAAGATGAGACAGCTCTTGGGGAAAGAAGTGGGTTTTCATCGAGTCATTACCTCCCAAATTTTGACCCTCCCCACCAACTCCCTACCCCATCCCCCCTCTGCTACCCAGGGAGGGTGAAGCCTACTGACATCCTCATTCAGGGGGTTCTGGATCAGTCCCATGCAGGCCTCCCAGACATTAGCCTGGGGTCCATGGATACTTCTCTTTTTAAACTTAGCTTTATAAAAAAACCTCAAATAAATACGCTTGGAAGACAATTGCTGACTTTTGGTTCATTGTGTAACAAAGGCAGGAAGAATGATGCAAACCATAGGGTGTGCTTACATCATCTGGGCCAGGTCATACAGGGTGCAGAAGGCAGGGCTTCAGCCTTCTGAGCTATGACAATGCAAGCCACAGGATAGTGAGTGACACAACATCCACGCATGAGCTTCATTCTCTGTCTGCCATAGCCTGTAGGAAAATGTCACATGGGAAGAACCCACACATTCTCCGGTAAGCAAGTTTGCAGTTTCCTTCCTTTTTAAAGCCACCAAGCCACTCTTCTACACTCTTTTGTAACACCCAGCATCTTGTGGATCTCCCTGGAAGTGCCCTCAACTGGCTTGGGCTTCAACAAGCTGAGGTTCCTGTGGTTATGATTTGGAAAGGTTGGGCATCCTAGGAGACACTACTGAGCCATACATCTTCCTTAGTTTTGCCTTATGCTTGTTACTTTTCTTCCAAGTATGGATAAATCATATTTTACTTCTGTGATTAAAAAAATTATATCACATGCTGCTGCGACTGCTATGGTTAAGCTTTCACTGTCTCTGGGGGGTGTCCTGTGATTCTTCACCAATGTCCTCTTGTTTTAGAATGTCGTTAAATGTACCCACGTGTTATTGTGTGCCTCATCAGAAATGTTAGATCATTGCCTTAAATGGGAAACTGGTTTTCCTTATCATAGACTAATCCTAGCAATAAATACAATGAGAACATAGTAATGTTTGAAATTCCAAGTAGATGCTGTGGCCTCCTGGCCCCTGAGCTGCAGGTCCTCTTTTTTCCTGACTAAAAACAAATGTGAGCAACTTATAAAAGAAGTTTTCCAAACTCATGCACAGGGCTAGCAAGATGGCTTGGTGGGTAAAGGCACTTGACACCAAGCCTAATGCCCCAAGTTCAAGCCCCAGGACCCACACAGTGGAAGGAAAGATTTGACTCCTCCAAGTTTTCCTCTGACCTTCACACATGTGCTGTGATGATTACACATGCACACACACACACACACACACACACACACACACACACACAATCAGTGGACTGGAAGACATGTAAAGCTTCCTTATTATGAGATTTTTGCACCATTCAGTAGTAGATCTGGGTGCTTCCTAAAAGCATCCTGTTCAGG